ATTCCACAAGTTACCCACCCATCACAGGCACTTACAATCTTCGACAGACTCTTGACTTTTGTCATGTAGCCCACGGGATAAGAGTGGATTACTGGCATGCACGCCATCTATTAGCCTAAATAGTTGTACTCTGCGTAGTGTGCTACAAATTTATCACATTATCCTTGTTGGCAGAGTAGAAAGCATACCTGGAATTTGTATTGCGCAATATTCTAGAGGCTTGAATATGACAGCGGTGCCGGTGATGTGGATCACTTGACCCTGATCTGTCCAAACCCGTGCATCCAACGGGTCAACTGTCATTGTGACCAGTAATAAACTGGTTTGTATCTAACATCGATTGATTATATTGGCCGAATCACATGCCGCCATCTTGGATCTTCTCCAAATCCACCTGATCAGCAGAATCATTGATTAGTAATCGAGATCAGAAATCCACACAAACAAACGCACAGGATCTTTGTATCTGTGAGATCGTGATCGTATGGTCTGCCCAAATACATACACTCTCCTTTGTTAAAAGCTAATTGCTTGCTAATTGCGAGAAATTTATTGCTTTAATGTTGACTAAAAATTTTAAAAAAGGATAGCGCTATGGTTAGGATTAGGATTATGGTTAGTGTTATGATTAGAGTTGTCACTGTGGGTTAATTTAAAGCATAAACCTTTAAATAATTTTCATCATATATTCTATGCTATCTGAAAATCTGTTATTGTTTTATAGACTTTCTTCACACACAAACAATAATTGCGTAATGGAACTGCGTTAAATCCAGGGACCCATTATCAAAGAAAATAAATTGCCAACCTCTAATTAACTTATTTGTCTGGCATGATTGGCAAGTAGTTCTAAGCCAATCACCGTTGTTCTCATAGAACATTATAAAAACCTATCCTTAGCTAAGAAGTTCTGCAAAGTCGTACAATTTGGCACATGCGTGAATAATTTGTAATGGCAAACACATGGAAGTCGGTTTAGTTTGAACGACCAACGGAGCAACAACATCCGAGGGTGTTATGGTTAACTTGTTTAGATGGATAGGTTGATTTACCACCCTGGCCTGTAAATCTGTGTACCTTTTATAAACAGTCTGAGGGCCAAGTCAATCGAAATACAGATTTTGTGAGCATGTATCCAATGCTAAGTAACATTTCTTGACTGCTTTTAAATGCTCTAAATGGTTTGGGGCCATGCGGAATCGATTTAAATTAAATTTAACATGATTGGATGATTGTTAGTAAACCAGACATTCAAATAGAATTTAATTCTATTAAATTCTATTCAATCGGTTGTGTTGACAGATACAGCCTTACAGATATATATAATGATATATATATTATATATATAGTATTATATAGTTGATATATACTAGTATAGTCACATCACGAGAGAGAGAGCGAAGCTGAGGATAGATTGATTATATACACAATATGTCTAATTGTGCACATATGCCATATAATCGTGATTACATTATCGCGCTGCTGCCTTGTTTTATCTATTTGCGGAAACTCACGAGCGTATAAATTACAAAGTTTGTCTCGTGGAAAGTTTGACGAAAACACATGTCCATCCGTGCTCAGTTACTCAACAAAAACTGCTTCATAACATCGTGTTCTTCTTCAGGCCACATTTCCCTGAGAAAATTTGGACGTCGAGTAATTTTAAGTGCAAACTTTTTTCATCGGTATTTTGTCGTTGAAGTCTTGTCGTGCAGTAAAAAGCGACGCTTTGACGAACGAATATTTTTATTCTTCGATAGCTATCCATCGGCTCAGCTTGTCGACAACGCGTATCTGTTCAGAACACTTTGTTATACACAGTCGCATCACGTTCTCTAATATTTTTTACTGATTCGGCATGGAATAAGATGCGTCCGATTCAAAGTCGCTTGCGACATAATTTGCCACCCTTTTTTTCCAGACAAAAAGGCCATATTAAGGTTTCATTTGTAGCATATATTTCCGATTTCCGTAGATTTCTAGGTATATTAATTTCTCTATATATTAAATTATTATAATATTAATTCATACAAGTATAGTGCTAAACTAATTTCTTAGGAATATATTATTTTGGCTTGCCTCTCTGTGCGCAAAACGCTCATCTTTCTTTTCGTTACTCTTCATCAACTAGTCTATATATATATATTATAACCTATGTCGTTTTCTTATTTACTCAACGCAGCAAGACCCTGTTTGTGTGTTTTTTATAGTATCTTTTATCTGACGAAATATGCTCGCTTTTGCGAAGTTAGGATTTCTGGAATGATCCATGGTTTAATCAGATAACATTTTGGCTGTCATTGCCTACTGACGAGCATTAAACACAGACTGACTGTCCCTGAAATCATCAGTTCATCAGACGTAACACGAAAACATCACAGATAGTCTGCTCAGATGGCCTACTGACAGATTACCTAAGTACAATTTGCGATTGTATAATTCGGCCAGACCATAACCGTCGTAGCATAATAAGGCTGGATTAAAGTGCCAGTTATGTATTTATATATTATATATATATTTAATATATTGGTATATATATATATTGGCTTTGAAATTGGCAAAAAAGCTGGCGAATTTTATTGAATTGATCATCGAATAGCGTCAGTGCTGTTGTTGCTACCCTAGATAGCGATTGTATTATTTCGACGCATACGTCTACAACCTCTACAACTCTCTCAGCAGTATAAGATAATTTTAATGTGTGCGATTAACGCCCGCCACACCCACAGCTGTTAAGACCTCGAGCGTTCGCATGATCTCTCTCTCTCTCTCTCTCTCTCTTTATTTTAGATGCTTTTCCCTCTTCGAAGAGCTCGGCTCGGCGCGGTGGTGATTTTCCCGGACGCTTATCCCGTTTCGCGGACGCCCTCGAAAAAACATTTGCACAACTGCACGCGGCATATCGTTTCTAGAACGCAATTCAAGTCCCCTGCTGTTGCGCAGGGGGGGCAGCTGATGAGAAGCAGGGGGTGGCAGAGGAGACACCACAGGGCCAATGGATGGAGTAGGAGGGGGAGAGGCGGAGGCGAGGAGGACAAGGGGCAGGAGGAGGATTGTGTGCGGATTGTGGCTTGCGGCTGTACCTGCGCTGGAAGAGAATGAGGAGTAGGAGGTGGTGGAGGAGGACGCTGTAGGAGTGGACGAAGGTGGTGGTGGTGGTGGAGAAGAGGAGAGGAGGAGGTAGTGGGAGGGCAGAAGGCGGGAGGTTGGTGGAGGAGGAGGAGGAAGGATGGTTCGGCTGGAGGGCAGGACTGGGTGGATGTGGAGCGGGAAGAGGAGGTGGTGGATGAGGACGAAGTGGGTGGAGGGGGAAGAGGAGAAGGAAGAGGAGGTGGGGGAGGAGGACGAGGTGGGTGGGGGGGGAGAAGGAAGAGGCTGCGCACGCATCAGACTTTTTAAGAGAGCAATTAAGTTCTCACATGCGCGAGGGGCAGACGCTGAAAGTGGCAGCAGGAAGAGGAGGAGGAGGAGGAGAGGAGGAGTGTGTGTCAGAGCTTGATCTCGTTGTTTATTTTCAGCCGGCTGAGGTTACGACCGGCGGCGGCGGAATGACGAGCGATCGCTCGTAGCAGATGACGTGCGGATCAACGACGAGACAGATCGACCGCCGCGACGCGCCGTGATCCCTGTCGTGAGTGAGGATTCGCCTGAGTTGTGCTGATCAACCTCTCATTGATCCCTCATTGATCCCGTATTGATCCTGTAGTGATTCCTCATTGATCCAGTATTGATCTCTCATTGATCCAGTATTGATCCCTCATTGATCCCTCATTGATCCTGTAGTGATCCCTCATTGATCCAGTATTGATCCCTTATTGATTCCTCATTGATCCCTCATTGATTCCTCAACGACAAGCCGGTCGACGAAACAGGTCGACACGCGACTGCGCCGCCACGTCGTGATTGTGATCGACCGTCAGGATTCGCTCGCGTTGCGTGATTGGTCGTCGTCGTCGCCATGCGGAGTAGCTGTCGAGCGTACAAAGTCTGTAGTGCGCACAAACACCCCGTCGAGTTTCTCCCGAACCCGACACCACTCACGCCGACTGACATAACACTGATCATGAGCGCGCGATCGAACACTTCCGGCTCGGCCGCCGTCGTCGCCGCGACGATGAGGCGCGCGTGATCGAACCTTCGCACGACACGATGGCCGCGTCTCGATGCCGCGACGTCGACCCCGCCTCGACCCCTCGCCGCTGCCGCCCGTCCCGCGTCCGCCTCAAGTGCGTGCTGCCTCCCCTCCTCCTCGTCCTCATCCTCGCTCCCCTCGTCGCGCACCACTACATGTCGCGCGTCGAGGACGCCGACGGAGACGGAGGAGGCGGCGACGAGTTTGTGAGGAGAGCGCGGGTGAAGCTGGACGCGTGGGACGACGCGTCGTCGGGGGCGACCGCATCCGACCTTCGCATGCGCGTCGACGAGCTGCTGCGCATCAAGTCGAGCGTCGGCAACGAGCTGCGCGAGCTGGAGAGTCGCCGCCAGTCCCTGCAGGTAGGTGGCGCCGCTCGCGTGGGTCGTCAGTAATCTTGTTCGGCTGCCCACAATATATCCCTACGCTTAATATTTGTTATATTTAATATACTGTAGTGTAAGTATTACGTTAACAATAACCTTTTACCCAAATGTTACCAAAAAAGGAGGGAGGGAGGGTGGGAGGGGCGGCGGTTTAACGTTGTTTAACGAGATTAGAGCGCGAGGGGGGGGGGAGGGCAACGAACTGAGCGAGCTGGAGAGCCACCGCCAGGCCCTGCAGGTAGGTGGCGCCGCGCATGTGTCGCGAGGAGGGAGGGAGGCCGCGCGGGGCTGGGGGCCCGCGTCAACGAACTCCCGCAGGCGCCATGGAGAGTCGAGCAGTTCGAAATTTTATTAATATTAAGCAAATTAATTTATCTAAATTAATTATTCGTAATTTTCCTCACTCCCTCTACAACCTACACTTAATTATTATTTATTAATGCAGGTCGATATATCAAAGCAGCAGACGAGAGTCGACGAACTCAAGCTGAGCGTTGGTGAAGGCAGGAGGCCGCGACCTCGCAGCGCCTCCAGCTCTCCATAGACGGAAGCCCGGCCGCGTGCGCGAACCGAGCACACGCCCCCGCCGAGGCACCTCTCCCCGGAGATGATCGCGCGCCTCTGCGCATCCTCGCCGCCGCTCTCCGACCCGGAACGCGCGCGGTGGCCGCCCCTCGCGCTGGCAGCCCGCCAGCTGCCGGAACACTTGGCTCACGTGACGTGCTTCGACGTTTCGCGCTGCCCGTATATCGCGCGGCTTCTCCGTGTAGCGTGTGACACCCGGAGGAGGTCGGGCGGCGCCGCGGGGGAGAGTGAGGCGGCGGTGCGCGGCGCGGCGGCGCGCGCGTTCGCAGACGGACTCGCAGACGACGCGGGACGCCGCCGCGGTGCCATGTAGTCGTCGTCCCGCGGCAACCGGTCCGTCGAGCTCGCACCGCCTCCCGCAACTTGGCACGGCGAAAGCGGACGAACATCTCTTGCTGCGTCTCAACGGGGACGAGTCGGCGTCGAAGAGGCCGGACGCGTTCCGCGGGGGTCGACAGCGGGTCGAGCGATGGTGGCGTCGGCGAGCGTTCCTCGAGGGCAGTTTTTCCAGTCGCGGGTTCGACATCGTGTTGCCGGTGATGTGGGGCGCGTCGCACGGACAGGTGTGGGAGGGGTTGGCCTCCACAGGTTGCCGCCCGGCGACTTACCTGTTGTCCTTCCAGGGGGAAGTATCGGTCCGAGGCACGCGGCCGCGAGAGAAAGGGCGGTGCGGCGGGGAGGAAGTTGAAACAGTTGGAGCAGGGAGCGGTGCTGTGTCCGCCTCAAAGCAGTCTTGCCTCTTCGTCGTGAAGGAGGAGGAGGAGGAGGAGGCGGAGCACGAAGGAAGCGGAAGAGGAAGTACGCGCTCCGAATCGTGACTCGTCGAGACGCTGAAAGAAAATGCAGGTGGCCGCGCCCGACGACGCATCTCCTCGATGTTCTCGGTGCCCGCCGCGGGGGGGCGCCGGCGTGCGGGGTGCGCGGCGGCGAGTGGTCGGCTGTGGCTGCGACCGGCCAACGCCGCGCGCGCACTCCGGAATTTATTTCGCCTCTCGTCCTGGCCGGCCGCCCGCGGAACTGCCGCCACGCGCTACACCTGCCGCCCGCCAGTGCAGGAAGGCGCTGCGTGCGGGCGGCCGTGCCCGTCGTCCCTTCGGCGGAGACGCGATCGAACTCAACCCGTTCGAAGACTTGATCGCGTGGCGGCGAGGCCGGACGGCTGAGCTGCTTCCCGCGACGCACAGCGTCACAGGATACGCACTTGCGTCGTGAAGCGCGTCGTCGCAGACGCGACCTCGGCTCGCGATGCGCCGCCGGCGGCGAAGCGCGCGTCTGGGAGCCGCACCTGGCGACGACCGGAGGCGGCGATCCGGAACGCGAACTCAGCGGGCGTGCGATCCCGGCTCCTCGTCACCGCGCCGCCTCCCGCGGCCGACGGCAGGCGTCGCCGGAGCGCGGTTCAAGCGCCACCTACAGGCCGCAGACGGCGGAGGTCGTTGGGGGGGGAGCCGGAGGTTTGACGAGACGTCGGGGAGCGTGAGCCGCGGACACGCGTCGGCCGGAGTTACCGCCGCAAACTACACGTGGTCGGCGCACGCCGACGTGTGGAACGACGACGCGTGGAGCGACCCATTCCACCTCTACCCGCACACGCCGTTCGACCCCGCGCTGCCGACAGAGGCCAAGTTCCGGAACCTAGGTGCGTGTTATGTTCTTAGGTGCTCCTTCTATGGAACCATGCACACACACTCTCCACATGATTGTGGCCATAATATATATATTATATAATATGATATATATATATATATATATATATCAGTTTATATAGTTCCTAGGTGCTCTCATGGACACGCACACACACACTCATGATTGTGGACATAATATATATATATATAGCAGTTTATATAGTTCTTAGGTGCGATAGTAGGCATGTTCGCGTTACTAGCTTCTCGTGATGACGCTACAACACAAAGCAAACGCACACACCGCCACGCATAGCACTGCATATGAATTGACATATATTTTTAAGCTATCTGACATAGTCAGATGCAGCTTTGTACGAATCGCAGATCGTCGCGTCCGTCACAAATCACCGGTCGTCCGTAACCGTAACGTCCACCAGCCAGAACCGTCCGTCCGTCCAACAGTTGGGGGGTTGGGCACAATCTTAACCGCTCGACGTACGGTCACGATATTGCGGGTGCGTTGGGGGGGATCGTCAAACGGAGTTGGGATGTCGAAGCTAGGGGTCAAAGGTCAAAGGTGCAAGAGGTGTAAAAGAAGGGGAACATTCACGGTAACGTTAACTTAAGGTATAGGAGGAAATCAGAATTGCGGCACAAATCATAAACGGCCTGCGCACCTAGGCTCGTGATAGTCGGTGTTAGCATCATGGTAGGAAAAGCCATCACGTGCCGAAATTGGAGGTACAGCAGGTCCACAGAGGTCAAATGGGCACAGGGCAGATTTTCAGACATTTTCTGGGACATGGTCTGACGGAGCGATTGAAGAAAACTTTTTTTGTTTTTTCAGCGGTGACGCTACCAGCATTTTTATGGCTTTATTGAAAGGAACATGAAATGTCCCTTCTGCTGAGACCCATGCGAAGAGTAAGTGTCGGATAACCTTTTGACCTCAAGAGGAGGGTTTTAAGACAAATGGATTTGGTTGACTTTCAAGAAAGGAGTGAAAGTGCTTTTGCTATTAATGAGCCGCCCTCCCACACCACCCTCCCCCTTCCCCTCATCCCCACCCTTCCCCCCGCCCACCTATCCCAACCCTCCCACCCCTCCACCACCTCCCGCTACCCTCTCTATCTGCGATAGTGGGCCCGTGTCCTAACAAATGATGATGTAACGCAACTGGCGTGTCATGCATATCTGCGGCGCTAACACCTGTGGTACTACCGCACGACTGTAAATTTTTACGTTTATATAATCGTAGGCACACGGCAGACCTCAGATGAAGCCCAGACGCTTCTGCGGCTCTTTGTATATATATATAATATATAATATATATAATATAGGCAGGCAAAACCCCTGGTGGCCGTTTGCCAGAAACACAGATTGTTATGACATCCTGTCTAATGGTCTATGTTCAAGTTTATGACATCCTGTCTAACGTCTATGTCAACGTATGACATCCCTGTCTAATGTCTATGTCAAGTTAATCTCATCGCCCATGTCTAAACTGTCATAACTTTGAAGTGAAGTGGCGTGCAAAAGTCATGATATTTTCGTCTCATGACAGACATATCTACTCGCGTTTCTTCTGCCAACGTCCGCATCGCTCCACTCCCTCCCCCCCCACCCCCCGGTATAGGACGCGGGCGGGCACATACCGGCTAAAAGGCTTGCCGAACTTTTTTTGCGGCGCGCATTGTAAACATTGCGGATGCGACCGACTGAAGTGAAACGAATAGCGATCGTGCAAGTGTTGGATAGACACATGTTTGTGCCGGGCTTATCGACGCGACTCTTTGCAGAGTTTTTTAACCGTATTTTGTCTGGGTGAAAATATTCCGTGAAAACGATGCGATAGTAAAACGTTTTGTTTAAACGTTTCTCTCGGCGACGACAACGCAGAATTTGGTGAAAATGATGTGTGATTGATTATTTGGTTAATGTTGATTGATTATTGATTACTCACAGCCGTGCTGTAATCAATTGATTCAGCATGCCTGAAGCATAAATACTATATATACTATTCAGAACGCGGATTTCCATTCGGTTTCGTCTCGTGCTCCGTCATCTTCTCTCTCCCTTCTCTCTCCTCATCTTTCGTATCCTTCTCTCACAACCCCTCCTCTCCTCTCTCTCTCTTTCTTCTCTCCTCTTCTCCTCACATCTTCTCATTCATCCCTCTCTATCATCTCTCTCTCTCTCTCCTCATCTCTTCCACCCCCTGTCCTCATCACTCTCCTCCATCTCCTCTGCTCTCCTCCTCCCTTCCCCACCACTCTATAAACCTCCTCCCTCCTCCCTCTCCTCCCTCCATCCTCTCTTCACCCTTTCTCTCTCCCATGTTCAGGAGTCTATCAATATTGATAGACTCCTGATGTTATGTGGTGACGTATTTATTGTTACATCTCGTTGCTTCAGGTTCTGGACTTGGCTTCCGGCCGATAGGGAATGGAGCGGGAGGCGCCGGGAAAGAGTTCAGCGAAGCTCTGGGAGGCAACGTTCCTAGGGAGCAGTTTACCGGTAACGCGTCGTTCTATGTGTTTTTTCTCCCGTTCAATTATTGTTTTTCCGCTGTGTCAGCCCATTAGGGTAACCTCGATCGGCGTGTGTTGTGTGGTTGTTGTTGTGGCTCGTTACGTGGGGCCATATGCTTAGTACTTTAGAGTAAATATTTGCGATCGACTTTCGGGACCGCCTTCGTTCCATTAGTGAGACACGCGATATCCTAACGCGCGTCGGAATCAGTTTTCGGTTTCCAGTGAGCGGATCGATGTTCTCTTGGCTTCGCGGTCGCCGGCGAGGAACATTTTGCGAAAAAAACGTCGACATGTTCCGGCGGTAAATGTGCAGACAGTCTCTCGTTAAGACGTCATTTAATTACACGTAATTTTTAACACATTTTATCACGTTAAACACTTTCGTTGGATGCTGTGATTATATGTGTGATTATGTGTATAAAGTCATTAGTCATTAAGTTGTCACAAGTCACTAAATTGTAGTCATAGTGTAGTTTATTTTTTAAAGTGACTTTTTTGTTCGTTCGTGAAATGTTTGTTGTTTTTGAGATGAATGTTGCTGTAGTTTTGTAAGATGTGAAATGGCAGTGCAAAATGAAACGCATTCTGAAAATTCTGAAATTGGAAAGAGGGAAATCGATCTTTCTGATCAATCTTTCAAAAATTTATCGTTCTTTGATCGATAATCAGAGTCGTTTAAATTAACAATGCGAAACCACGTGTCTACTGCTAAGAACGTTTTATTCGTAATGCAGTTAATTGAATACAATTAATTAATAATAGAAGGATCACCTCTATAGCACGGCCACCTTTCCGTAAAGGCCACGTTTTCTGTTCCCCCATGAGTGGCTGTTATATGGAGGTTAGACCGTTTTTTACAATAACCGTACTCGTCTTTGCAGTTTTTCCGTCTTGGTAGTAATTTTTTCGTCGTCGTCATCGTAAAACCGCTACGTTTTCACTGACGACGACCTCTGGTGTTTTATCAAATTTTTTCGTTTTTTCTCCTTTTTTCTGTTTTTTTCTTCTTTATCTGTTTCCTTCTCACTGGTTTTTCCCCCGTTACCTTCCTTCGCGTTTAGTCGTGCTGCTGGGGTACAAGAGAGAGGCGTTGCTCATCAGTTCATTGCAGTAACTTTTTCCGTCCATTTCTTTTCACTAACCGTACTAACTCTGGAGTTTTTCTCCCTTTTTCCATTTTTTTCTCATTATCTCTGTTTTTCTTATTTTCTCAGTGTTTTTCTTCGCGTTTAGTCGTGTTTTTTCTTCATTTTTTCTGTTTCTTCTCCTTTTTTCCATTTTTGCTCATTTTTCCCCTCGTTTTCTCTCGCCCATGTTTAGTCGTGCTGCTTACATACGAGAGAGAGGCGGTGCTCATCAGTTCGCTGCAGAAGTTCTACGCTCTCCCGCATCTCAACAAGGTGATCGTCGTCTGGAACAGCGAGAAGCCCCCGCCAGAGGACCTGCGCTGGCCGGAGATCGGTGTGCCCATACATGTGAGTACGCAAGTTGTACGGCAGAATTCTGCTGGAAAGGTGCCGGAAAGGCTCCGGAAAGGTATGGGAGAGGGGCCGGAAAGGTGCTGGCCGGAGATCGGCGTGCCCATACATGTGAGTAGTACGCAAGATGGAAGCCGGAATTCTGCCGGCGAGCGGAAAGGTATGGGAGAGGGGCCGGAAAGGTGATGGCTAGAGATCGGTGTGCCCATACATGTGAGTACGCAAGTTGTATGCCAGAATTCTGCCGGAAAGGTGCCGGAAAGGTGCCAGAAAGGTGCTGGTAATATGCTGGAAAGGTGTGGAGGGAGACGCTAGTAAGAGGCCGGGAAGGCACCGGAAACGGGATGGCCATAGATTGGCGTGCCCATACATGTGAGTACGCAAGTTGTACGGCAGAATTCTGCCGGAAAGGTGCCGGAAAGGCTCCGGAAAGGTATGGGAGAGGGGCCGGAAAGGTGATGTCTAGAGATAGGTGTGCCCATACATGTGAGTAGTACGCAAGATGGAAGCCGGAATTCTGCCGGCGAGCGGAAAGGTATGGGAGAGGGGCCGGAAAGGCGATGGCTAGAGATCGATGTACGCAAGATGGAAGCCGGAATTCTGCCGGCGAGCGGAAAGGTATGGGAGAGGGGCCGGAAAGGCGATGGCTAGAGATCGGTGTGCCCAAACATGTGATTACGCAAGTTGTATGCCAGAATTCTGCCGGAAAGGTGCCGGAAAGGTGCCGGAAAGGTGCTGGTAATATGCTGGAAAGGTGCCGGAAAGGTGCTGGTAATATGCTGGAAAGGTGTGGGGGGAGACGCTAGTAAGATGCCGGAAAGGCACCGGAAAGGCCCTGGCCAGAGATTGGCGTGCCCATACATGTGAGTACGACGTGTTGTTGGTCCCGGAATTCTGCCGGAATGGTGGCAAAATTGTCCTGGAGAGGTGCTGGAATGGCGCTGGAAAGGTGTCTAGAAGGTGCAGGAAAGGTGCCAGAAATGTAAATATGTATATATACGTTAAATGTTGAGCAGTACATTATGAGGAAAAAAAATAACATGGAGATTGTTAATGTTACACGAGGCAACGGAATGTCCGGTTTATGTGTGGCGCATGCGCTGTGAAAGAGTGGTGAGCTGTGCATCCGGGTACTTTGGGAAGAAACATTGATGGCGTCTCTCAGTGAGAAGCGAAATGCTATGTCTACGAACAATTTTGTGGCCTGGTATGAGTGATACGAGAGCAGAAACACAGGACCAGGTAGTACGAACTCGAGGCTCGTCAATGGAAGAATATTCAGTGTCGGCAGCGGAACAAGGTGAGATAATAAGGAGGAAACATGTAGGAAAGGTGTCGTAAAGGTGCAGGAAAGGTGTCGGCAAAGTGCCAGAAAGGTGCCGGAGATGTGACTCCTCGTAACCTCGTAAATATTGGTCTTTAGACAGGTCCAAGGCACTATATCGAAGACGGAAAGAGGCGAAGTCGATTAAAAATCAAAATGTGATGTTGATGCCAATTCTCTTCTCACTCGCAGGTGATAAAAACTAACAGGAACAGTTTGAACAACCGTTTCTTGCCTTACGACGTCATCGAGACGGAAGCCATACTGTCGATGGACGATGACACTCATCTGAGACACGACGAGATCATGTTCGCGTTCAGGTGAGAGATTTAGATCTGCCGCTTTAGGGGCAGATTTGTTTCTATGTCTGTCTGTCTGTCTGTCTGTCTGTCTCTCTCTCTCTCTCTCACACACACTCTCTCTCTCTCTCTCTCTC